TTTGTAGTAATGGGTTTTCTGACAAGCTCAGCCAAAGGAGCCTTGAGCGGCCATAAATGGTGTGCTGTGGCCTTACTCCTCTGAGTTCATCCATCTCAGCTTCGATCTCCAGAATCTGCACAAAGGTGCTGCTCATCCTCGTGGTGAGCACACCTGAGGTGCGAAATGCACCTATCATCTCCCTCTCCTCACACATGCTGTGCAGTTATTCCATAGCAAACATTCTATTTCTTCTGACCTAAAATTACAAATAATTTGTTTCAATTTTTACTAAAGAAACTAACAAGTCATATTTACATGATAAAAAATCTTAACAATTCTCAGCCTAGTCTTCACTTAATTTACTGCGCCAATTTAGTTCCTTTTCCAGGTAACAGGCATCAGAAGACCCATAACAAACAAATAAAGAAAAACCATATGGTTGAGAAAGAGTGGGGTCAAAGCAGAGACCCAGGACCCATCTGTAGACAATGGAACATCCCCCACAGAGAGGTTGCAGGGAGAGGATCAACACCCATGAAACACACAGTTTTCCTCTGGTTCCTTGAGGCTTCCTCACTCCCCACATCATGACCTCAGTGATGCCTCTCACTTCGGACTAGACCGGAGCATGTGCACAGGTACAGAGAGATAAGAGCACCGGACACATGACATGCAACCCAAGAGCAGGAATGCGAATGGCGATACCAGAAGGATAAGGAGGGGAGGGGAGGAAGGAGGAGCAGATCATAATGATGGAAAGACGACCAGACGCACCCCTCCAGGGGGGAGAAGAACAGAAAGCGTGGGGGAAGGGAGACAGCGGTTGGTGTGAGAAATGAAAATGATAATTTATAATCTATCAAGAGGTCATGGGGGTGGTGGAAAGGGGAGGAGCTGATACCAAGGGCTCAATAGAAAGTAATTGTCTAGAAAAGAATGATGGCAACATATGTACAAATATGCCTGACATAATTGATGTATGGATTGTAATAAGAGTTGTAAGAGACCTCAATAAAACGATTAAAACATTTAGTTCCTTTTTACTTAAATTATTTCTCTAACAGTTACCTTGCAGTTAGCATCCCCATATGGAACCACTAAGACACAAGGGCTCCTTTTCTTTTATTTAGGTCATCTTTATGTAAAAGGTTTTTTTTATAATTAGGATTTATTTTTAAGTTGGGTGATGGGTTTATGAGGTGATCATTGTATCGTTGAAATACCATTTTCTATATTTTAAATATTATGAAGTATATTATTTTCAAAATAATTTTGTTATTTTTACAAAAGAAATAGATTCAATAACATTCTTTTTTTTTCAATAACATTGTTGTGATGAAGAAATTTTAAAACGTAGGTGAATAGGAGTTGAACGTGGATGGAATGCACCTTGAAGAAAGTTCTTTGTTTGGCCAAGAGAATAATGGGTAAGTGCCATCAAGCAGCGGATAATGCCGCGACCCTTTAATACAGTACTTCATGTTCTGGTGACCCCCCCAACCATAAAATTAATTTTTTTGCTAACTCATAACTGCAATTTTGCTGCTGTCTGAATCGGGCGACCCCTATGAAAGGGTTGTTTGACCTCCAAAAGGGTCGCGACCCACAGGTTGAGAACCTTTGCATCAAGGCACCATCTTTTCATGCTGGGAGATGTCCTGAACAATTTACTAGTGAGTGGTCGGTGACAAAGAGAAGAGGAGGGAATAACTGAAGCAGCAAAGCTAGTGGCCCTGATGATACACTGTGAGAGGGAAACTGTCTCCAAATTTAAAAACGACCTAACTAAAGTGGAAAGAGGGCAGCAATTACTTTGCACTTTAATGATGGAGTGATGAGGGAGTTCCCACCTGACTTCTTTTCTAGAAAAAGGAGAGTAGAAGTCCTATCTCTGAGGAGGCAAACATCTGAAGGCCAAAGAGGGATCCCTAGTATGGGCAGCTGCAAGTGGTTCTATTCAAACCATGGGTGGTTGGTGGGCATGGGGCGGGGGGGTTGGGGTGTAAAGAGATTACAGAAAGCAAGCTCACTGCCGTGGAGTGGATTCCGACTCGCCACCCACAGGACCGGGTCGCCCTAGCCCGATGGGTTCCGGAGACTTACCCCTTAGGGAAGCAGACTCTTCCTGTTTCTCCAGGTGGAGGGATCGGGCAGGAACATTTAGT